GCTCAGATACTTAATGTCAAGCAGCAATTAAAGGCTGGCTTTGTGGGGAGGCAGTGAGGAGGGTTTGCCCAGACTAGGAGGTAGAAGCTCAGGGTTGAGCCATCCCCAGTGCCTATGCTGGTGGGGAGGGACTGGGGACTTTTGGCACCTAGAGGTGCCCCAGGACCTTGTGAGAGTCACAGAGGGATGCTGCACCCCAAGCGGCAGTTCCTGAACCCCTCCAGGCAGAGACACCCTCACTTTGTAATGCACAGACCCACTCAGCTTCATCCCGAAATTTGGAAGCACAGAAGCAGAAGTGGATTTTCTAGCTAGGAGCCTTCAGGCAGGATACCCAGGAGCTCTGCTGGGGTAAATCCTCATGAAAACTGTAAAGCCAGTGGAGGTGAGATGGGTGCAGAAGCCTCCAGCATTTTCTTCCTGACCAGATCGGTGAATGGAGCCTGTGTGAGCTTCTGGGATGTTGAATCCCCACCCTCAAGTGATGTCTTGGGGTGCCCAGAGCCAGGTTGGGGTGCCAGGGTCTAGGCTGTGCCCACCAGTGTCCCCTCCAGAGCTGGTGCTCATGGGCTGATGGTGCTGACAGCATCACCTGCCTTGGCTGGGTGGTCCCAGCTGAGGACTTCTGTTCCTCAGCGCACTCCCCAGTAAGAGGTGCCCCCATGTGCAGTGTGAGGTGTGTGTGTGCAGGAGGGATGCCTGTGTGTGGGCACAGCCAGGACAGTGACACTGTGGTGGCAGTGACAGCAGTCCTGATTGTGATGGGAGATGTCACAGGGTACTGAGGAACTGAAAGTCTGATTTTGGGTATATTTTAATGGGTCCTTCTGGGCTCACTTTAAAGCACTGATGAGGATGCTTAATTGAAAAAATAAAGAAAAGCAAGAAACAGCAGCAGTATTGTGTTGCAGCAGAATTTGCTCGAGCATCCCCACTCCCTTCCTCTCCCAAAGGCACTGCTAGGCCTACAGCAAAGGAGTGTTTTATGGGAGACTGTCAGCGAGTGATCTACTTGGTTGGCTCCAAACCTCTCTTGGAGTCCTGAAGTCTCAATCTCTCCCAAATTCAGCCTGTGATTTAAGAGGGAGATGCAGTGGGGATGAGCTATGCAGGCAGGCTCTTCCCTGCTGTGCCAGAGCAGGAGGACACTGCTGAGTCTGAACTGGCCCCATGGTGTGGGACATTGCATGTCCAGTCTGTGTGAGTGCTTTCTGCATGGCTGAGTGAGGACTGGACCCCGCTGGTTCTTACCACTCACTCCCAGCACGAGTGGTGAGGCATGATGCTGACCCTCTCCTGCTCCCATGGGGGACTCCTCCACTTCACCCCCTGCAGAGGTGCAGGGTGCTGCTGCAGATATCACCCAGGTTGTGCTCTTCTCCTCCAGCTTCCTCAGGTACCAAGCTGCTGGGAGTCAGTCAGTCCAGTGCTATGCTGTGATGCAGTGGGCTGTGTGGCCATGGAATCTATTCTCTACTGCCTTGGGTCATGAATTCCTCAAGCACCACCTAGATGCATGGTGGTGTGCCCGGTACAGAGACAGCAGAGACAACATGTGACCATAGCATTGGTGCTCAGGAGGTTCTGCTCCGACCTAGGGGCCTTGCACCATGCTGAGCTCCTCTGAGCATTGGGCTAACAGTGTTGGGCTTCTGGAGCTCAAACAAAAATGTCCTGGCAGGAGCAGCATCTATATGTTAGTTGTTATTGCTAAACAAAAGAGGCATGCTTGCTTCAGCTCCACTCAAAACAAAACCCAGCGGGTTTGCCAAGTGGGGAGAAAAGAGAAAAGCTAGAGGAAACAAACAAACAAAGTCCTGGATCTGCTTTGGTGCCTTTCCCTGGACCTAGGTTTCAATAAGCAAGTGCATTTTTTACCCTACTTCAGCGTAAGGCCAGTTCTCCTTTTCCTGTCAATCCAGACCCTTGTCCAAAGTCTGTCTCCAGCTCTCTTGGAGCCTCTTAAGACACTGGAAGAGACTCTAAATTCTCCTCAGAGCATTCTCTTCTCCAGGCTGAACACCCCCAGCTCTCTCAGTCTCTCTACAGCAGAGGGGTTCCAGTCCTCAGAGGATCTCCTTGGCTTCCAGTGAAGGTGGATTCTTATGTGAGCTGAGCAGAAGGGCAGAATCCCTTCCCTCACCCTTCTACCCACACTCGATGCTGGTCATCTCTTGCTGCAAGCTCCCAGTTTGCCCTGATCTTGGCTGGGTTGAGTTGTCTTTCCCTGATAACCGGTATTTAGTCTTCTCATCTCCTTTGCCTGTTCCTCCCTTGGATAACCCTATGGACTGAATCAGTCTGTGGTTCAGGAGAGCATCCTTGGCTGCTTGTGCTAACATACCACTGACAACCACAAGGCTACAAGAAGCTCTGCAAGGACCTAGTCCTCCTCATCCTCCCCACGCCAAGCCTTGTCCTTTCAAGGCATCCATCCTTTTATCCTCCATCCTTTTTCTCATGCATGGAGCCCTGTGGCTTCTCTTTGCTGCATCAGGCTGCAAATGCTGAGGAGCAGCTTTCTGAAGTGACAGCCATCCACACTGCCCCCAAGGACCTGAGCATAGCACTTAGCTCATGTCTGCCACTGTGGCCTGGAATCTGCCCTCTTGCTGCCAGCATGGGCAGGCACCCATGAGCTAATCCTTTTCACAGCCAGCCCAGGGGACTCCAGGGTCCAGGCAGCCTCAGGTTTTGGCTGGAAGGTCATTGCCACCAGTGGCAGCATCACTTGCACAGGAGCCTGTTCACACCCCAAGCTCCCACTGATGGGAGGTGGTGTGGGATGGCCACCATTGTCCCCACCAGCCACATCATAGAATCATAAACTGATTTGGGTTGGAAGGGACCTTAAAACTCAGCTCATTCAACTCCCTGCCATGGGCAGGGACACCTTTCACTAGACCAGGCTGCTCCAAGCACCATCCAACTTGGCCTTGGACACTTCTAAAGATGGGGCAGCCACAGCTTCTCTGCACACCCCTTTCAGGGAAGACGTTTTTCCAAATATCCAATCTAAACCTCCCCTGGCACCACTTGAGGACATTTCCCCTTTCCTTGTCCCGAGTTCCCTGGGAGCAGAGCCTGACCCCACCTGGCTGCACCTCCTATCAGGGACTTGTCGAGAGGGAGAAGGTCCTCCCTGAGCCTCCTTTTCTCTAGGCTGAGTCCCCACAGATCCCTCAGCTGCTCCTCATCAGACTTGTGCTGCAGCCCCTTCCCCAGCTCTGTTCCCTTCTCTGGACATGCTCCAGCACCTCAATGTCTTTCTTGCCATGAATGATATCTCCCTGCAGGATGAGGCTTTGCCATGGGTGAGCTGGTGTTGGCTGGTCGGTCCCTGAGGGCAGGACATCTGTGAGTGTTGTTTTCAGCTATCAGTTGCTCCAGGGCAAAGTTTAGCTCTAGATAAATCAAGGCTATTTCACTGAGTCCAGATGACTCATAACCACAGGGCAGGAAACTCTTTTATCTCTAGGGCAGCCGGTTTAATATAGATAGATGTTCACTCCTGAGCGCTGAATAATTTCCGTCTCTTTACTTCTCATTAAAAGCAAATCAGAGGAGAGAAAACAGTGAGAAATTTCTCTGTGTTGCCTCTGTTTCTACCATCTCTCAGAGAGCTTCCTCCCAATTGTGCAGTCTGCCTGGACTGGGTCATTTGCCATGTATTTTAATTGGCAGAAAAAAGGGCTTTTGCTCCAAAGCACCACTCCTTTTCTAAACCCGGATTCTTCAGGCACAGATGGAACAGGGATCTGTTATAACAGGGTCCACTTCAGCTTCCAGAGAGGTAGTTTGGGGTCTTTCTTCCTCTCCTGATGTGGGATAGCACTGTTACCTCCTTGGATGAAGGGGAACCACAGTGAATTAGACATCTTGATGATGAGCCTGCTAAAAGAGTCATCTTTACCTCTGGCCAGCAACTGGAGGTGGAGAGAAGAGGACTTGGGTGCTGGTCCCTTCCTGCCCAACAACTGGAGGTGGAGAGAGGAAGACTTGGGTGCTGGTCCCTTCCTGCCCACCAGAACCAGCAGGACCTTGCTGCACAGAACTGACCAACCTCTGCATGGCTGCTCAGGGATGTTTTGCCACCTCAGGCTCAAATGGTTGGTGTTCACTGTCTGATCCGTGCAGTCCTACATTTGGATAACATCCATCCCTGGAGGAACCCAAGGCAGCAACTCAGCACTGCTGCTTGGACCACACTCAGGACCTCTAAATCCATTGGCTGAAGCCAGTGAGATGAATGATTGCCAGGAGCCAACTTCCCCAGAATTTTCTGGTCTGAAGTATCATGGTATTAAAAGGTAAAATCATTAAAGTCCTTTGCAGCCCACGGTGCCCCATCTGAAATCAGGATGATGAAGAGTATGGAGTGAGGTGGTTATTAATGTCCTGTCTACTGGTGATGGCTTTATAAACATCATCACCACAGGCACAACCTCCCTGTAGCATCTTGGCATGACCCTCAGTCAAATGTCATGCTTTTATCACACTCGATATTTAGCTAATAAAACAATACAGGGGAGGCCTCACACCAAAATATCTGACCTTACACACAGGGGTATGGGGTCAAAACTGAGAGAAACTATGTTAAGTGTAGTCATGCTGAATTCTCTTTAGACTTGATGCTCCATGTCTGGGAACTGTGCCAGGGCTCTGGCAAGAAGGGGATCAGATGTTTGACGCCAGTGGAAACCCTCCGTGCTGTAAGGGATGACTCATGGGCAAGAGCCCCACGCTGCAGCGAGGCCACGCTCACACCAAAGCCAAGGACTTTGCTTGGTGGAATGAGGTCTTGCTGGGGACATGAGGGTCCTGTCTGCAGGGAGAAGTGTTCCCACTCTGGGAACCTTGCAGCTGCTCACACTGGTGCTGCCGGGCACTGCTCTGGCTCTCCCCAAGCTGTTCTTTGGTCCTGATGCTGTAGATGTGCCTTTGCCTGTCTGGCACTTCCTCCATGCCTCATTTCTCCACACCTCCTTGCTCCTTCTCAGGTCATCCTCCCCTAAAATGACGCAGCAGATGCGAGATCTGCAGCTGGCTCAGGCCAGGAAGCCTCCAGGCCCTTCCTCACCGAATGCAGCCAAGAGGCTCTACCGAAACCTGTCGGGGAAATTCCGTGTCAACTACACATCCTTTGACGAGGGCAGCCTGGTGGGACGGGGAGAGAAGGAGAAGCTCCGCAAGTCCTACCTGGTCAGTGCCTGCTGTCTCCATCCAGATGGGGATAGGTGTTCTGTGTGTGGGTGATGCTGTCACCTGGGTGGAAGCCTAAGAGTGTGTTAAGTGAATGCACTGTGGAGAAAGTTCAGCCAGAGCTGGTCCAGGTGTTTGGTCAGCATCATCCAGATGCGTCTGCAAAGAGCTGATGCTCCCAAGTCCCTGGAAACAGGGTACCCCCTCCCTGATTGAGTTCATGGGTTGCTGGTGGGGGGCTAAGGTTTTTGGTGGGGTGGGGAAGGATGCCCCATGCTCAGCTCACCTGCATTTCTCCTTCCACCCAGTTCCAGAGCAATGCTGCCCTCTTTGAGGCCGTGGAGCTGCAGGACCTTGACAGGGTGCAGGACCTGTTGAAGCAGTACAGCCCTGAGGAGCTGGACCTCAACACCCCCAACAGTGAGGGGCTCCTGCCCCTGGACATTGCCATCATGACCAACAACGCTCCCATCGCCAGGGCCCTGTTGCAGGCAGGAGCAAAGGAGAGCCCACACTGTGAGTTGGGACTGGGATCTGTGCTGTGCCCATTACCTGTGTCTTCAGACTGGTGGAGTGGGGCACCTGAGGCAGCAGGGTACAGGTGGAGAGGTGGTGTCTGGGCTCTGGGAGACTGGTGCAGGCTGTAGGAGGGGCTTGAGGGGAGCCATGCACTTGAGTAGAGCCCCAGAGTGGGACACAGAGGGGAGGTTGGGGTCTTGGAGTGCACATTTATTGTCAGCAGAGCCTGAGATTGCCCTAACCACCTTCTTCTCTTCCCTCCTCCTGGCTCTCCTCCTGGCTCCCATGGCCATGCCCATCCACCCCCCAGTTGTCAGCCTGGAGAGCCGCTCCCTGCACCTCTCCACACTGGTGAGGGAAGCGGAGCAGCGCGTCAACGAGCTGATGGCGCAGGTGGTCAACGAGGCGCCCAACGCCGACTGCTCCGAGAAGGAGAAGCAGCTCAAGGCCTGGGAGTGGCGATTCCGGCTTTACAAGCGCATGAAGGCAGGGTTTGAGCATGCCCGTGAGTGCCCACAGGAGGGCTGGGGGGGCTGGGGGCAGCCCCACGCTGGGGGAAGGAGCAGAGCTGTGCGTGGTGCAGCCAGAGGGTCCCTGCACCCTATAGCCAGGGCTCACAGTATGGGTGCATGGTGGGGTGAACATGTTTCACTCAGGGAACATGTCCCCGGGAGAGGGGGAGGCCCAGAGGGACACTGAGGGGTTCAGAGTGACTGTCCTCGCTGTAGTGGTCCCTGTGCTCTCTGTCCCCAGGTGTGCCAGATGCTCCCACCAGCGTCCACCTCTCCGTGGCCAGCAGCTCCTCGGTGCATGTGACCTTCTCGGAGCCCCTGAGTGTCAACTCGGCTGTTGTCACCAAGTACAAAGGTAAGGACCAGGATTCCTGCAGCAGTGCAGGGGGCACACAGCCACGACAGGTGCCTTGCACATCACGACAGCATGGCAGAGTCATGGGCAGTGCTGCCAAACACCAGTCAGGCCACTTTTGTGCTGGAGCACAGGAGGAGCCAAGGCTGCTGGACAGCCTGGTCACCACCCAAATTCTCTGAGCTAGACCAAATACCATCCTGCACCAAGGCAAGACTTGGGATCCCACTTGTTTGCTGCCCTCTTATCCTTCACACAGTGAGGGCTTTGCTGTCCTTGCTGCTCCTGTGCCCCTTGCCCACTTAAACCAGATATTTTTGGCTCCTGCAAGAATTTCTTCCATCCCCTGCTCCTGACCCATCAGTTAAGGATGCTGACTCCATCTGTGGCTTGATGAGGATGACTGCAGCTCCCCATGACATTGCCCCCACTGTGAATCCTCCTTTTCCCTGCCTTTGCTCCACTGCCTCCATCTCCCTTGCTGCCTGTGGTTTCTGCACTGGGACCATGTGACACCTTGGGGTCTCTCTCCTTGCAGTGGAGTGGAGCTGCTCCCCCACCTTCTCACCACCACTGGGGGAGGCTGTTATCGACAAGCTGAAGAACCTGCACTTCACCATCCAGGGGCTGGTGTCGGTGAGTTCCTGGGGTGCCCCTTGGGGTCTGTACTGATACGGGAGAGCCCACAGCTGGAAAAAATCATTTGCCATGGTGCAGTCCCTGGGGTTGTTCCCTGCAGCTGATGCAGGAAGGGGATCAGGCACTGGAGCAGACTGCTCAGGGCAGAGGTGGAGTCATCATCTCTGCAAGGGTTCAAAAGACATGTGGATGTGGCACTTGGAGACATGGGTTAGTGGTGGCCTTGGCAGTGCTGTACTCAATGATCTTAGAGGGCTTTTCCAACCTAAGTGATTCTATGATCATTCTGAGCAGAAGGAATAGGATTGTGCTGCAGTGTGTGGCGATTCTATGAACATTCTGAGCAGGAGGAATAGGATTGTGCTGCAGTGTGTGCCATGGGCACAGTCTGGGCAAAGCTGAGAGCATGGGGAGAGGCATCTGTCTGTCCTGGCACATCTGCAGTCACTGACGGTGGGGACCCCTGGGGACTCAGGAGTGACAGGCAGAACGGGCCCATTCACTGAGTGCCTGATTTATCCTCTATCCTCCACCCTGCTCCCGTCTCCACCCAGGCTCTTCCTGGGCAATAAATCAATGGCTTGTTCCTCTGCCACCTGCACAGACCGACCCCTCGCTCCAGGCCCATTGCTCATTGAGAGGGGGGACCAGCCCCATCTCCATCTCCTGGAGCTCAGCAAGGTCACGGGTTGGTGGGGCTTTGGTTCCCTGATGTTTTTTCTCCCTAAGACACTGCCTGTCAGCTGTCCCCTCCCCAGGGCTGCTGTCGTGTCCCCAGCACTCACTGGGTGAGCAGCAGGGAGAAAGGGCAGGATGGGGACTGCGGTGGGATGAAGCTTGGAAGGTGAACATGGGGAAATGCTGGGATGGATGGGGTTGCCTTTACCAGGGATGTGCAGTGCCAAAGCTCTGGGACAGGCAGGCAGGAACCACCGGCTCAAGGAGCAGGGAATGCCCTTGGTGAGGTTAGAGGGCCTTAACCAAGGCTGTGATGCTGCAGTCAAGAAGCACTGTGATGGAAGGAGAGCTGCCCTGGTGTGTGGCAGGATGGAACTCGAATGGAGCCTGGAGCATCATCGCTGCAAGGAGCTGGTCTGAGCCCATCCATCACGCTTTCAGAGCAGCTTGCCATGCTCCTGTCTGCCTTCAAGAGTGCCTGGAGGCCTGGCAACATCTGGCAGCTTGACTGGGCTGCAATCAGAGGCTTTAATCACTGTCATCGTGCCACAAGCCCAGCACAGAGCTGGGCCAGCTCCCTGTCTCCAGGGCCCCAATCCTGCACATTTGAGTTTGGAGCATCTCTGGCAAGACATTTGCAATGCCCTGTCCTTCCTCTGTCTCACCCAAACCCATCCACCCACCCAGGCCACAGAGATTCTGTAGAGTTTGATAACAAGAGCTTTGTACAACTGGGGCAGTCCAGCGCCAGACTGCAGGCTCCCAGTTAGTACTCACGAGTTTGTACAACTGGGGCAGTCCAGCGTCAGACTGCAGGCTCCCAGTTAGTACTCATGGTGTACTGGGCTGGGGGGAATCCTCCTTCCCTGACCTGTTTAGTCGGGAGAGGTGCCAGAGTGCTGAGTGTGGCTTCCCTCTTCACAGGGCACAGCGTACTATGTCCGGGTGTCTGCCTACAACATGAAGGGCTGGGGTCCCCCACAAGCCTCTGTGCCCCCATTCGCCATCCCTTCCAGTAAGTACCACTGGGAACACCCATGGGAACCAGCACCAGCTGCAGGGCAGGTGTGAGGGAGGTGGCAGCTCCCTGTGCCATCCAAAGGTCCTTTTCACTGCTGGGGTGTGGGCTAGGGGACCTGGGAGCAGAGGCAGAATTTGGGGTCTCAGACCAGGCAGAGAGGCTGAAAAGCAGCACCATGCACACTCTGGCTGCAGATCCATATGGGACTGGTATGGAAAGCTCCAAAAATCCATTTGCATGTCTAGGAATGCACATAGCAAGGGCACAACACTGCACTGCCCTGGTTTTACCCTGTCCCTACCATGTTTGCACCCACTTGAAAGCCCTTTTGCCACCCTGCATGAGTAGCATTCCCCATGACCAAGACCCAAGTGGCATCACTCAAGTGTGGCTGAAGTGAATCAGACAGGCAGGAGTGGGGTTTATTTATTTTTATCTCCATTAATATTTCTCCCTTCAGTAGTGATCCCTCCCTGGCCCAGCAGAATATAGTCAGGCACCTCCCTGGGTGTTTTTAAAGCTCCTAAAAATAGTGGCAAGTCCCAGCCAAAGTTAACAGAGCTGAACTTTCCATGGAAAACAGCAGCGGGCAGGACACAGGGGGTGTTTAAAGCAATTAATGTAAAGCTGAGGGAGAACAGCCAGTGGGTGCCCAGCCCTGCTCCTGGTCCTGCTGCCCTCCCGCAACGGGTGGAGCTGGCAGGAGCTTATTTATGTGTTTGCCGAGGTGAGCCCAGCTCCCGGCACTCACCCAGGGAAACTGGGGAAGACCTGGAGGAAGACACTGGAAAGAATTTTATTTTTTAAGGCCAGCAAAGTGCTGCAGCAACAGACAGGACCTTGTTCCTTCCCTCTGCCGTGTCACGGGGTGGCCAGTGGCCACGGGACACTGTGTGGAGCTGGGTGTTCCTGGGAAGAGTGGGACAAAACTGAGGATGTCATGAAGCCCAGCGCACAGAGAGGTGCCCAGCAGACACATCTGCTGCCATGCCGTGCTGTGCCTGGGGGATGCCTAGAGGATGTGCCATGGGGAGGAGGGGACAGGAACCCCCTTTTTCCCAAGGGGTGCTGGAGGTGATGCTGGTCTGTCTCCCCGGGAGTACGACGGCCGAGCCCCACGGCGGAAGGGACAGGCTGAAGCTCTGGACCATCTGCTGGGACAGGTGAAGACTGTCCACCAACACTGCATTTGCCATGGTGAGCCCACAGCACGGTGCTAAGGGAAGACTGGGGTGGGGGTGGGGGTCCAGATGGGACCCCCAGGGCTGTGGCATGGTCCAGGGGTCTGGGGTGGTACCAGGAATATCTGGTCTGTACCATAGCAGGGAGGCAGCTCAAACAGTGGAGACCTCGGCAGAGCCTTCCCACTGGTTTGGTGTGCCCTGCCACTGGCTGGCACTGCAGCTCTTCATCTCCTGCTGCAGCATCCTTTGCTCTCTGCTCCACAGAGCCCTGCAAGAATCAGCCCCAGAGCAGGAAGCACTCGGTCTCCAAGAGCCTCAAACACCTTTTCCACCCCAGCAGCAAGTTTCTCAAGACGCTAAAGCGGTGAGAGGCTGATGCATGATGTGGTGGAGAGACTGTTTCCCAGCAGGGCTGAACAGCTGCCCATCCTGGGAGCTGCCAGGAGCTGTGTCTGCAGGCTGAGGGTGCTCAGAGGTGGCTCCTCACCTGGAATGAGCTGGTGGCATGAGTGGTGATGGGTCCCATGGCCCAGAATTGAAACAGAGAAGCTGAGACCTGGGGCACAGCATCTCTGCCTGCAGCAGAGAGACACTTTTGGAAAACAAATGTGGCAGCTGGGGGTGACACTGAAGTATGTCCTTGCTCCCATGCAGGGGCCTCTACCTGACAGCCATCTTCTACAAGGATGACAACATCCTGGTGACCCATGAAGACCAGATCCCCGTGGTGGAGATTGATGACACCTACTCCTGTCTGCTCATGCAGGATTTCCTCTGGTTCACCAAGGTGTGTGGCACAGTGAACCTCACCCTGGCACTGCTGGGCAGAGAGCCAGGAGTGACAGGGTGAGCCAAGGGGGCATCAGGCACCACCACTGCCTTCAGCTGGCAGCAGCTTCCCCTCCAGCTCTGGTGCTGGGGGTTGGCACCCTGTGGGCTTGCTGCTTGCTGGGATTCAGCACAGACAAGGAAAACATCAGGGAATAGCATTCCATCTCAGCCCCTGGAAGCCCAAGGGTGGATGACAGACAGGTACCACACTGGTCAGGCTGTGTCTGCAGGGATGTCAGTGGTTTCTCAGCTGCTGAACTGCTTCTCTTCAGCAATCTGCCACAGGAATCCTGCCTCTGTTGTAGGATGCACAGGGTGCTGCTGCCAGGTGTTCTGCTGTCAGCAGACTTAGGGAAAGGGCATGTTGGCAGCTCAGGGCCAAAACAGCTGGTCGGATGGTCCTCATCTACTGAGAGATAAGGCTGTCTTTCCCTCCTTCCTTTGGCTAACATCTACTCAAACTTAAGTCTCAGTCCTCGATGAAAATGCATATCTGAGTGGACACAGCATGGTGCTTCCTTCAGGTAGAGGCTCTGGAGACATCTCAGGCTGCCTGTGGCACAGGGAATCACACCCCTGCTGAGAGATGCTATGTGCCCATGCACATTCCTAACCCTGCTCAAACAGAAAGACAAATGGATTTCCCCAAAACACCTTGGTGTGACCCAGCTGTGGCAGCTGCTGCTGGTGGTGACACCCTTTGGTGTGCTGCAGGTGTCGTGCATGTGGGATGAGATCCTGTGGCTGCGGCAGTGTGTCACAGTGTCCCAGTCATCCTGCTCCTGCATCCTGCAGACGCGCTTCAAGATGCTGCTGGCCATCTCACAGATGCAGGTGAGGGGGTGCCTGGGTGGGGAATAAGCACTTCTGGTAGGTCACTGGGGGCTGGGCTCTTTTGGGAGCAGCACGTAGATGCGGCACAGCCAGGAGAATCCTGGAATCTGCCTGTGGCAGGACTGAGTGCCCCTGCCTTGCCCTCCCTGCAGGACCCCAGCTGTGGGACAATGCTGTGGACCAGCTGTGGGACCAGGCTTCATGGCAGTCTCATGCTGAAGGGCTGGGGGCTGTCAGGGTGCTTTGCTGGGCAGACTAGTTTCCTGCAGGCAGCTGCAGTCACCTCCCAGTTGCCACAAGTTTCCAGAATGTCCCCTGACACTGCTTTCTCCTGCCCTCCCACCCCATCACGCAGGGACTGCTGGGCATCCAGGACCTGGGGCAGGTCTTCTTCGAGCCCGTCAAAGACAAACAGGGCAACATCCTCATCGTCACCCTGAAGGAGGTGAAGACCAACCAGACCTTTGAGAGTGTCCGCTGGGTTCCCATCTGCAAGCTGCAGAGCAGCCGCAAGTCTGTGTCCTCCCCAGATGAGCCCACAGCTCTGGATATGCTGCTGATGTCCATCCAGGTGTGTGTTGGTGTTATTGGGGCAGGGCATTGTGGTGGGCTCCACTGGGGACCACCACCATCTCCTGCTCCCTTTTGGGCTGGAAAGGCTGTGGCAGAACCCAGGCCACCAAGGGTCTGGTCCTGGCTGCAGACAGAGGAAGAGCAGAGCCCAGTCAGCCTGTAAAAATCCTGTTGCTCTGAGGAGAGGCATCAAGCTAATGCAAGATTCATCCTGGCAGCACCAGGACGTCTTGCTCTGCTGCCCCCCTTCTCTGGCTGGGCTGGCTGTGCCACGCCATCAGCAGAAGGCTGTGCTCAGTCAGTGTCTTTCTGCTCAGGACAAGCTGTCTTACCACCAGCGGAGCAGCCATGCCCTCTCCCCAGGCCTCTACCTGGGCTACTTGAAGCTCTGCAGTGCCGTGGACCAGATTCGAGTGCTGGTGCCTGAGCAGCTCCCCAACATCCTGTGCCACGTCAAGATTCGCTCCAACCCCAACATCTCCAGGTGGGGCTTGCAGGGTGGCTCAACCAGGGCAGTTCCTCTGTCCCATCCAGCCTAAGAGCACCTATCACCTCTTGCTTTTGTTCCAGGCTCTTGGCAGCAGTGTAATATTCCCTCTCATCCCTGCTGCCTGCAATGTAATGTTTTCAGGCACATGGTGGGATTCTTGGGGTTGTTCTGTGCAGAGCTGGGAGTTGGGCTTGATAATCCTTATGGGTGCAGGATATTCTATGATTCAGCCTAGAGCTGGAGCAAAACAAGTTCCCCCTCTACCTCTGCAGCTCACTCATCCCTTGGGATGCTGCACTCTCTGGGAGAGAAACAGCCAATCAAACATAGCTCTCACAGATATTGTGTGTCCAGGTCCACCCCAAGCTGCTCCCTCCTTCACCCATCTGTGTCATTCTCCAGGGAGGAGTGGGAATGGCTGCAGAAGATGGTCAACGTGGAGGAGCCTGTTCCTGCAGAGCCAGAGGCTGACACCTCCCAGAACTCCTTGTTTCAGGAGCTTCAAGTGGCCATCAAGGAGCTGATGACACTGGTCAACATCCCGTTGCAAGAGGTAGGGCAAGGTGCTGAGGTCTGGAGAGGAGGGAGGGCAAGGGGCTGTGCAGCACTGTGCTGGTTGCAAGGCTGAGCATCAACAAGATTTTAGTCCTGTGCAAACAGAAGGTAAGTGGTGGCATCACTGGTGGCACGTCTTCTCTGAGACCCTGTCGTGGTGACTTTGACCAGTGGTTTGGAGACTTCTAGGAGAAATAAGAGAGGAAAGGAGTAGTGCAGATTACACCAGGAACAAGGACCCTCTGGTCACGTGCTGAAGCAGCAGTGTCCCCTGGCTGCAGGTGGTTCCTGAGGACTCCCCTGTGCATGAGGACTTGGCAGAGAGCCCACCAGGTGATGTTTGCAGGTGTTATCTTCACTGTCTTTTTGCAGGCCAAAGATTTTCGTCTCTACAGCCAAGAGGTGCTGGACTTTGGGGATCAGGTCTCCTTCCTGCTGCTGCTGCCTCCATCAGATGATGTCTGCACTGCTCCAGGCCAGAACAACCCCTATACCCCTCGCTCCGGCTTCCTCACACTGCCACTGCAGATCTTTGAGCTGGGTGAGGAGAGGGAATGCCAAGACCCGATTTTGTTGGTCTCCTTGTCCTCTGAGACCTCCTGAGAGCTGGGAGGGGCGGTGGGGTGGGCCTGAGCTCCCTCACCTCTCAGGAGAGGAGGGATGGAAGGGGATGCTGAGAGCTGTCCAGGTGGGCTAGAGAACAGTGTTGCTTCCTCCCTGTGTCGAGTGAGTGGCGAGGACCCTGTAGAGCATCCTTGGCAAGGGACCTGATGTTTTTCGCCCCCTCTTTCTTGTTTCCTCTTCTCAGTCCACTTCTTCACATATGACCGGGAGTTCATCACCCAGTACTGCCAGGTGTCTGCCCTCCTGGAGCTGGAGTCACTTCTCTCTCAGCAGAGCCTCAGGGAGGCCTTCTCTGACACTGAGCTCTCCACCGCCAAGCAGAGGCACCAGCAGGTTCAGGACCACATCCAGGTATGGGGTGGAAGTGTGCTGGGGAGAGAGCCAGGCTGAACAGTGCCTGTGGGACCTGCCAGGACAGTCATAGTCTAGATGAGCTGCAGCAGCATCTGCACTAGTGCTGTTCCCTGGACTTGTTGGCTGTGACTCCATGTTTCTCTGACATGGCCAATGGGCAGCAGCAGGCAGGGCCGGAATCATAGAATCACAGAATCACAGAATGGCTTGTATTGGAAGGGACCTTAAAGATCATCTAGTTCCAAACCCCATGTCATGGGCAGGGACACCTCCCACTAAACCCCATCCAGACTGGCCTTGAACACTCTGAGGGGTGGGACAGCCACAGATTCTCTGGGCAACCTGTGCCAGTGCCTCACCACCCTCTTGAGTAAAGAATGTCTTCCCAATATCCCATCACATCTCATCTCCAGGCTCCAGCTGATTTGTCTAGCAACTTCTTACTACAGTGAACATACTAAAAATCCTGAGGAGAAAGCAGAAAGCTCCTGCTCTGTACATCCCCTCCTTGCTAGAAATGGGTCTGCAAGTGCATTTTGGGATGGCCTTGCAAAAGAGCATACTACACTACCCCTG